GTCCTAGACCCAATGCAGAGACATGAGCACCCCGTGTTCCTTCCACTCCTGCAACCAGAGCCTGGGCTCCCCTGCAGCCCTGCATGCTTTGGTAATGAGCTGGTCCTACAGGGCCACATAGGCTTCTGCAGCAAGTAGGGAGCACCCCCTGTGTAAGGTTTCTCTCTCTATCTCACATAACATTGCAAACACTTAATCTCTTCTGCTCTGCAAATGCTTTAAAAAAACCATGAGTTTTGGGGTCTATAGATTTCATGTTTGTTTAATGTGAAATATGTATGTGATATATTTGCACACACTATTGAGAAAGCATTTAATTAGCCTGCTCTTTTGAGGTATTAGAGACTAGATAGTTCTAAGACTTCACTACTTTTTCTATAAAGCCTGTACATTAAAAAACCCCACTACTTTTTCTGCCAATATCTTTACATTAAGGAAAGTAAAAGACGGATTATGATTTCAAAACAAAGGCAATAACATGGTGAAGAAGTCAATGATTTTAAGCTCAGGATATTCTGAATATATATGCAAAACAATAATTATTAGCAAAGGATACTAAAAAATTAATCAAAGGTCACAGCAGAAATTAGCTACCTTCAATACTTTGCGGACCAACAAGATTCATAGCCTGGTGCGCTGGATATTCTACCCGAGGCCTGGCAATGCCCAGTTGCTCCATAACCCCGTGGAGAAGCCTCTGAATATCTGCTTCAGAAACCCTGTCAGGGGTCCTAGGGCTGTGGCTAAAAGCTGAAGCCAATCCAAAAGCCAGCAGAACTATCATGTTACAAAACAAGGTAGTTGTCATTCTGGAAGCCACTTGTACCCTGTGAGAAAGAAAGGAATTTAGTTACAAATTATAGTGGAAAAAAAGTCCAGTACACATGCTGGAAATAACTCCTGATCTTACTAACTGCACATCACAGTTTGCTACAGCAGCTTCTAGGGCCAGCTGAAAATCTAGCCAGCTGAAAAATGTAGGGTGGAGGAAATAGGGTGCATTGGTTCTTCTCATATATAAATAAAAAAGTAGCAAACCACAGAAATCAATTTCCTGATTTGCATTTGCCCATAACATTTATCAACCAGTCACTGCAAACAAAATGGATTCACTGTTTTATTTAATGAGAATAAGTTTCCGCTCCCCCTCGTGCTAATTATGCTGTTTTATAAAGCTACAGGCTAAAAGCAAAGCTTTCTTCAGCCAGGACCTGTATTTTTCCAAGCTCTATTCTTGCACTGCCTGAAAAATTAATCTTTGCTGAAAGTCATGTGCAATTTATTTGTACCTTAAACCAAGAGGCTTGCTACCTTGAAATATGTCCACTAAATGGCTGCACAGTGTAGTTTAACTAGGAAAAAACCCAAACACAAGCATCACTTTACTGTTCTCATTGAGAGCCTGAATTTTAATCATCACTCTTGTTTCTTAAAGCTCCTTTTCCCCTCACATCAAAGAACAATTAAAATGCCTCACTTCCAATCCCCTGAATAAACAAAAGAAACCCCTCAATTACCCATTGTCTTCCTTAAGATACATACATAGCTGCCCGATTTCTCCACGCCAGACGTTTAAAGATGTCCCGCTGCCCCAGCCGCCCCACGCAAGGCACCTGAAATCGTCTTTGAGGCAAAAATGGCTGAAAAAAACAACGCTGGAAATATTCCCCGCTACGCCTGTGCGCGGCTCCACCACCTCGGCTTCCCCATCCTCCGCAGGCGAGAGCTGCTGGCCAGCTCAGCCCCCTTTTCTCTCCTCGGAGA